GAGCATTAAAGCACATAATAATAGACAAACAACAGTGGTTAAAGCAAGCAGGTAGGATTACTATGTTCTTTTGTCAGAAGTATATAATGTCTTGTAGTCAGTTTTAAAGACTTCTCAACCCCAAATCCACCCAGCAGTCACCTGCTGAGTAATTTTGTATGCCTAATCTCTAGCCCTTAACTACAAGCTTTCTGCTAATTTGAGGCAAATGGGTATTTTTGACACTAAATAGGGCAGTAAAGAATCCCTGACCTAGAAAAACTCCGTTCCAAGGCACTGAGAGCAGAAAAATATTCTTTCAGCATCCTTGTGAGACCTTTGGAATGACATAAAATAGCTTTGACTAAACTGTGCTGCAGCCTTCGATTAATGGTTTGCAGAAACTTGCTGAACATCCCTACTACAACTTCCCCCATAAAACTTGTCACTTCAGATTGCCATCAGCCACCACAACAATAATCATTTCATGCCTATTGCTAATTGCAAGCACAGCTGAGGCTCAGCAGGGTGCTCTTGCACAGTCCCAGGCCTTTATACCAGCCTCAATCTGTTGTATGGCACTTGTTCACACACAAAAAAACTACCAGTAAAGGCAGAAAGAGGCAGAGTCACAGGTTCCTTGTAATCCCTCTGCTACCCTGCTGACAACCCAGCCCTATAAGCATTCCTGGTTTTGTCCCACTCTTTACAAAAGCTGAAGTGACCTTAAGCTACTAGTATGTAAGCTTTTGAATGAAGAATACAGCTCCTTCAGGTGCCTTAAGAAGGAGTGTTGCATCTGGCTTACGAGATTCTGTTTGCAGCACTCCTGGGGTGAGCTGTGCCTTCCTGTAACATGTAAAATATGAGTGTGAACTCAAGGTTCATGGCAAGGAACAGGAGGTCATGCTTCCATTCAGCTCACACCAAAGAGAAAGGGGGTTTGCAGATGTTCCTGGGTGTGTGTAATGACACCACCTCCCGGAAAGCGCAGGAACCCAGCACAGGGCTGGGTTTTGATAAAATGTGCCACATTCAGTGTGCTACTTGCAGATTTATTCATACCAATTTCTACAATTTATGTATTCAGAGACAAACTTGCTATTTCAGGAACTTATTGATCATGTTTTTGCATTAAAAAAAAAAAAAAAAAAAGAAGGCAGAGGGCTGGGGAACAAGTAAGCTTATTACAAGCTGGTTGGGGTGTTGGATGGGCAGCCATAGAAGTGCACCTTTTGTAATGCTCCAGCTCCTCTAAATGCCCATCCTGGTGCATCCCAGCTGGCCCATGGCCCCCCTCATCCACCCAACCTAGCAGCCAGCAGTGAGGGTTGTTGTGAAAGACAGGAGAACAGGAAAACAAACCTGAAAGAGGGATTGAATTCCTGTCTGTACAAATACAGTACCTGTTTGCAGGACTGAGCTCTGATAGTGTCTGCATTTTCTCTGCTGGGGCTGGGTCATGGTGTGCAGCCTTGGGGCTGTGGTTTGCCTCTGCCAGAGCCCTGCACCCTTCCCTGCTGACATCCTGATGGAGGAATAATACCCACCATGCATCCATGAGGATGCAGGCTCCACAGCCTGTCCTCACCCTGTGCCCCCAGAGTGAGTGTAAATTGTCCCCTAGGTGAGGGACAGGGATGCCAGCAGCACCTGTAATGTGAATGTGCTACAGTGAGTTACATGTGGAGTTTTTTCCACAGGCCTGGACCATCAGTGAGGTCTATTTGTTCTTTACAGCCAGGCATGAGAAGTTTTTTTGCAGAAAATATATTTATGGTACTTACTTTGGTGTGCCCATGCCACAGCTGTGCTGTGGCTCCAGAAATGTGGCTGAAATGTGTTGCAAACCTTGGCAGAGCCCCAAAGTTCAGTATTTGGGCTGTGACCTCTGCACCTTATCTTTGGGGACAAGCCACAAGGCTGGAGCTGCATCCCCAAGGGGACCCCATGTCCCCAGCATGAACCCCACTGCCCCTGAGGGAATGGCAGGCCCCCTTGGAGAAAGCAACGTGGCCAGTGTCCCCACAGGACCACTCTGTGCTCTTTTGTCTGAGGTGAATACGTTTCTGCTTAGGAGCATTTGGCTTTTTTGTTGTTTTTTTAATAATATAGTCATATGCAAATGTTATCTTCTTTGGTAGGTTAGTCATGAATCAGAGGGCTTATGCGTCTTATAGCACATCAACACTAGCGATAGCTAAAGGGAACATTTAATTTATGGGCTAACTTATTTTTATGAATATGCAGGGCTGAAATTCAGCAGTTGGTGTGTGCTCTATGAAGTGACGTGACGGTTTTGTGTATCAAGATCAATGAATTAGACTTTGTCTTTTTCTCATAAAGCAGAAAGTCTTAGGAGTAAGTTGGCTTTGAGAAAGAGAGCTCCTTTCATGCAGCCGAGCGCTACGCCTGGCTGAGCCCTTGTCAGCCGGTGCTCAAGAGGAGAGGGGTGCAATTCACTCTTGATTCAGAGGAGTTTGCATCTCCCCAGAACCCAGAGTGTTTGAAGTGCCCTCCAGAAACACAGAAAAGCATTTAATTTTGCCTACTTGGTAGCTCTCACAGCAGCAAAGTCACCTTGCCAATAACCTCCTGGCAGAGGTTATGATTTCTGTTTGGGATCACAGCCCTGTGGGCGTGTGTGGCGTGGGACAGACAGAAGTGGCAGGACCTGCCCCTGCCAGGGACTTCTCATCTCACGCAGAGTTGACACAAACAGCCAGCAGATCGTTGTGTGGAAGATGGGAGGCGGCAGGGGAAGGGAGGGGGCGTGTGTGTAACACCTGGTTGTGCCCTTCCTCTGGGGGCTCCCATTTGAAGAGGGGGCAGAAGGGGAAGGAGGTGTTTGGCTGACCTGGGCACCCATGTGCCAGCGCAGCCCTGGCTCACAGCTAATGTCACCCAAGAGCGTGACTCAGTTAAGCACCGATTGCAGAAAAGCAGCTTTATGAACATTAACAATTTCTCAGTTTTGCCCGCGTGGGTCTGCAGCATTTCATGGGAAGCCAGGCAGATCCCCAGGGACAGCAGCTGCTCTGTGCCACCCAACCACCAGCTGGCTGTTGGCTGTCCTGGGTGAAGGTACTTGGGATTCCCAGGGGATATCCAGGGACACCCTGACTTCCCAGACTAGTCTGAGGGATTGGAAGGTATGAAGCCCCACCACACCTTCATGTCTCCTGTGCTCAGCAGGTCCACACCAGTGACCCAGGTTGCTTCACTCACTGTTCAGCCCCGTTCTGATGCCAGCACCTCAGGTGACAGCTGAGAGCTCCTGCTTGCCAGTCTCAATTAGTCTCACCCAAGCTCTTGCCAGCTTTCTGTCCTGGAGATGAAGGGTCAGCAGAATCTCTGCCACAAGTTGCACAAGGTGTAAGCATTGAGCATGAGGTCACCACATGCCATTTCTTCAGTGACTCATTTCTTTATTTTCTCAATTTTTTAAAGAGGTGGTGTAGAAATTAAAGGAGCATCATTGGAGTTGGGGAAAAACTCTTCCCCGTGCAGCTCCCGGGTGTACTGCCACACAGCTCAGAGATGTGTGTTGAGCACACATTTTTGTGGTGCAGGGCAGGTTTAGCTCGGAGTTATTTGTTTGCTTTGGTGAGCCTCATGCCACCTTGTGGGTGCCAGTGTCAAAGGATGGAGGGAAGCAAATCACTGGCAAGTTTTGCAGTTACAGAATGTTCGGTTGTCTCCATTCTCCTGCTGTGCTAGCAGCAGGAAAGGGCATGTTCTGTGTCAGACACCCCCGACCTGAGGGGGCACCGAGGGGGGCACCAAGACCTGACTTGGACTGGTGTGAGGTTTCAGGCTTGTTGGGAGGCAGCTGCATCCCAAACTAACTTGGATGGTGCTCTGCCAGGATCTTCATAAACTGGTCTGGTGGAGTTTCTTTAGTATTTTAACTGGTTCCAGATTAATTGCATCTGGTCTGCAGTATGGGATTTGATCACTGCATGTAAGAGAGATCACGAGAAGGGTGCAGGTGCCCATACAGAGGTGTGATGGGTTTTATGGGTTTTTGCCTGCTTTGTAACCACCCCTTGTGCTGTGCACCGTGGGGAGGTTTTGTGGTTCCCCACCCACCCCCAAGGCTTTGCTTTTCCTCTGTCAAAAGCTCCCTGCTCATCTGTGTGGCATCAGACGTGCCATGTCAGCCCTGCGTGAGCAGGGCTCTGATCCCCAGCCCAGCAGAGCCTTCCTGCACTGCGGGAATGGCAGGCTGCTGCCACACTGCTGCGAGCCTTTTTCACAGACAGCAGCACAACTTCAGCCCCTGGAGGGGCCCTGTGAGTTCAGCAGCTTGAAACAAGCTGATTTCTTTGCTGCTTTTCCATCTTTCATAACTGTGAGGGTGAAACCAAAGCACTTCCCACACAGCCTGGGCAGACACCCACCTGTAGGTGCTTACACCAGTGTCCTTCCCCCCAGCCAAATCTGGCCCTGCATGAACCTCCCCTCCACTCACCCTCGGGGTCACAGACTCATCCTGTGGCTGTTTACAATTGAATTTGAAAATGGTAAGTAACCTGAGTGTGGGACAGACATCTTTAAAGGCAGGACTGTGTTCTCACTGTGGGGGTGAAACAGGTTATAAACATGGCTCGAGCCAAACACACATCACTGCTGGCAAAATCAGATTACAAAACCTTGTGGCACTACTGGTGGCCGTTACCCTCCTAATAAGTTTTTTTTTTGTTATTGTTGTTATTAAAATTGAAAAGCCCATGCATGGCAATTCTGTGTAAGAGCAGATGCCAGTCTCCCCTGTCAGTCTGTGGCCCCCATGAGCAGGCTGGCAGGTGGCAAAGGTGGGTGTGAGGGGATGCTGGGGGCACAAGCATCAGCCAGGGCGTCGCACAGAGCCCCGTGGGGGTGCTGGAGAAGTCGTGTCTCTCTTGCAGCAATGGTACACCAGCTCCATGAGTGTCGTGTGCACGTGGCTGACAGACCGCATGGACCTGCAGCTCCACATCTACCAGCTGAAAACCCTCATTAGGATAGTAAAGGTAAGCACATATCCTCATTAGGATAGTAAAGGTAAGCACATATCCACATTAGGATAGTAAAGGTAAGCACATATCCGCATTAGGATAGTAAAGGTAAGCACATATCCTCATTAGGATAGTAAAGGTAAGCACATATCCGCATTAGGATAGTAAAGGTAAGCACATATCCGCATTAGGATAGTAAAGGTAAGCACATATCCACATTAGGATAGTAAAGGTAAGCACCCACGGTGTTCCCAGTGCCCCTCGCTGGCAGGAGGAGCATGGGTGTGTGTGCCTGCATGTCTGTGCTCTGTCACTGGCAGGTAAATTAAGAATTCATTAAAATTTTAAAGAATTAAGGGAGCTCTGTCCATGGCAGGTAGCACTGGATAAACAGGAACTTTCAATGCAGACAGATGTAAAATACAGGTGTGCAAATAAGAACAAAGTAGTTTCGTGCATTAAAAACAAAAAGAAAATTCTCTTGCTATTTGACCTTACCTGTGCAGTAAGTGCACCAAAATTGGCCTTTTTGTGGACAAACTCACTGAACACACCAGTGAGCTCTGGTGTTAAAATGGGTTAAATCAACCCAAAAGTTTTAACTCTGTTTTGCTAGAAACATTTAAGCCCAGCTATGGCTCGTGATTATTGTCAGAATGCAAATGAGATTGTTCTCATTGTTAATTGAAGTTGTTTCTTTTACAATGGGTGTATATAATCAACTCTAAGAGATCACAAAGGTGAGATAACATACCCTGAAAGTAGCATTTTTTTTCTTTAAGTGCACGTGTATGTGTATATCTGTGTGTGTGCGTGCCTTGGACTAATGATAATTATTTCAGTGTGAAATCACAGTGGTTTACATGAAATAATAAGATCACAGAAGGGGGTAAATATATTTTTGATCATTTTAGGTTCTATCTAATGCTTTTTGGTCTAGTATTTTATAATGTTTATGGTCTTGTGTGCAGTGAACACATTGAAGGCATGAATAAATTAAAACTGAAATGTATTAAATGTGCTTTAAATGTGCTTTTCATAACAGAAAACAACAGGCACAGACAGATTATTCCTACTTGTCAGCTAGCTGAGGAAAGCTTTTTTTCCTTGTGCTTTATTTATACCAATATTACATTCAGAAGCAGCTATAACAAACCCAAGGACTTCTGAAATAGTAGAACAGTAAATAGTTTCTATGCAGAGCACAGAGCAGAATTAAATGAACGAGACCAGAGTTTTATCTCACAGAGTTGAGAAGGTTTTAAACATAAATTCAAATAATTTTAATAACAAGGGAAGTATGGGAACCATGGAAATACAATTCCAGACTGAGGTGAAGAAAGGGAGATTTAAGAAACATGTGCCCAATGCTTATTTTTATACATCAATAATTTTGTCCAGTATCCTGAACTTAGTTTATTTAATCCCTGTATTGTAGGTAGGATTGTTTAATACGGAGCATTCCGGGAATGTGTAATCATGTCTGTGGGTACAGGGATAAGCATCCTGCTGCTTGGAGAGAAATAACTGACATGAGAGGCGGGATGAACACATCCAGGAGCAAGGGAAGTCAGTTGGAGCTGAGCCCTTATATGGCTCCGATGTCTTTTTAGACACTCTATGCACAGCTCCCCTGAGCTGCTTTGAAGCTGCCCAGCCCACAAAGGCAGGGCTGGAGTCACAGAGCTGTAATTTGTTGCCCAAGGCTCCCTAAAGGGACTTCTGCCCTTCTGCCACGCCAGAGTGGTGGCCAGCAGAGATGCTCCTATGGCCTCTGCACTTCCCAGGTGATGCAAAATCTCCCCAGGGCTGGGATTTCCCTGGTATCCCATTAGTGTCCCCAAAGCCCCAGCACAGGGGCACGGGTTGGGTCCTGCAGCAAAGCAGGGGAGCTGGTGCTGGCCCTGACCTGTCCCTGTCTCTGCTGCAGAAAACGTACCGAGATTTCCGATTGCAAGGCGTGCTGGACTCCACCTTGAACAGCAAAACCTACGAGACCATCCGGAACCGGCTGACGGTGGAGGAGGCCACGGCGTCGGTCAGCGAGGGCGGGGGGCTCCAGGGGATCACCATGAAGGACAGCGATGAGGAGGATGAGGAGGATGACTAGGGAAGCTGGAGCAGCGGCTGGGGTCGCCTGGTATCCGTGCATGTACCTCGTCTGTAACTCAGTTAGCCACATTAGGAATTTTTATGTCAGCTCTAAATGCCCATGAGAAGTTTACCAATACAAATGCCATGTTAGCTGTGTGGTAATAAGATTAGCACCTCTCTTTGATTCATCAGTTTCCTAATTTCATATCTATATGTTCATAAGCAATATGGAGCACCATTGTTTAATACTGTTAATGGAAAAACTACATAGAAAACATCCTAGGTGTGTCCCTGTTATTAAAGTTTAAACAATGCTTCATTAATGTACTGTATATACATTGATGGTAAATTGTTGTGAAGATGAGTGACTCGAGTCCTTTCATTTCTTTCTCTTCTGTGGATGCCAAGTGCTTAAAATTAATTAAAAAAACAGCTTTGTTTTTAAAAGAAAAACCAGGCAATTACAAATGATTTTTTGTTCTCTCTGTTCATTTAAAAACCAGAAAACAAACAAACCCAGACAGCCGTTTGAATCATTCTGCATCCTTGTTAAAGTACCAGGCTCTTCCCTTCAATATGCAGTTAACTCCATAGAGACTACATCCCAAAGGATTAGTCATTCTAATTGCCACACCAGATTAATCCTATCATTATGGATATATCATGCCACATTACAAGTCCAAAGCAGTTGTTTTATGTTGACGTTTGCTCCTCTAAATGTTACATTTTTGTTTAAATTTCAAATAACCGTGTATGTACAAAGACAACTTTAATTACAATCTTAGACTCTACAAATGTGTTTATAATAATATATTGAATATTTATTTCGGTAGATTGTAACCATAATTTACAATTCCTCTGTTTCACAATGGTTTTTATATATGTCATGTACATTGCATTTTGACCAGTAACTGCATGTCCATCAGTTCCTTCTCCAGAGCTTTTACTTTCTGTGTAAAATAGTGATCCATCTTGCTTTTTTTGCCTTATACAAGCCGACAGTTGTAAAAGTGTGAGAACTGTGGCTTCTCAATAAATAACTATTCAGATGTCCTAATAATAAATTATGGAGTCTTTTTATGTCTGCCTTAGGAAACAAAAAAAAAAAAACAAGCTGAGATGTAAGAGCCCCAACCTCACAGAATAAAGGCATTTTCTTTTCTCATGGGTGTTCTTTAGTTTATTAATTAAGAAGATGGTTTCCTGATTTGCTCCCCAAGGTCAGGATTGGGAGCACACTGTCTGTTCCCCAGGTACAAGAGCATTTCTGCTATGACCACCACAACTGTTTCCACCATTATCTGCACTCTGTGTCCTGTCATTTGTCCCTCGACATGTAATTGATGTCTGCTCTGGTTCAGCCCCTGTTATTATATGGCCACCAGCCTTACCCAACACTTACCCTCTTCCAAAAGGCCTCAGTTTGTATTTTAACTTCTCCCAAAGCAGTCTTAGTGCAGCAGCAGGCAGGGCAGAGAGAAACCCTGAGTTGAAATTAAATAAAAGTATGGTTTGATGGAAAACATGTTTAATGGAAGCACACTTGAACTGAGTGCCCAGAGAGGTCATGGATGCCCCTGAAAATGATCTCTGGAAATGTTCAAGGTCAGGGGCTCTGAGCAACCTGGTCTAGTGGAAGGTGTCCCTGCCCATGGCAGAGGGTTGGAACTGGATAATCTTTAAGGTCCTTTCCAACCCAATCCATTCTGTGATTCTCTGTTAGACTGAGAGTTTTCTGAGAGGTTTTGCAGTCCCTCCCTCCCATCAGCTGATTCACACCAGAACTGGTTCCTGCTAGCCCAGGTCTCAGTCATTTGAGAGCAGAACTGGTGTGCTTTATCCCCAAATACAACAACCTGTTGCCAGCCTGGGGAACCAGGACAAATGTTCATCCCTCACAAATAAAAGATGGGCAAATGGAAAAGCATCCTACCTGGATGAGCCTTCCTGACATAATGAGCAATTAAACTTAAACCATCTTCGAGAGGTAAATCACATGAGACCCACCCTGGACATATGGGAGGAGATTTGGACCTCTGGAACTGCCTGTGAAGGGAGTGTTGAGTCCTGAACTGGGCTGGGATAGTTATGGAGCCTGGAGCATATTCCCCTGCAGTGCTGAATTTTGGGGTCCCTTCCCTCTGTGTCAGAGTTTAGCATCTGCTGTGGAGGTGCTGTGCAGCCCCACCTGGATGGTCACACCCTACACATTCAGCATCCGCCTTTCCCAGGCGTGCTGGGAACACCACCCCCTTGGAACAGGGGCATTAGCAGGGGCCTCACTTTAGGAGTGGGTGGTGGATGTGCACATTTAGTACCATTTACATGGTGAGAAGCCATCTGATGCACCAGAATAGATTAATTTTGAGCCCTGACTGTAGCCCAGCAGACTTGATACTTGTCTTGCTCTGTGCTGCTGGTAGTCAGAAGCCTTGCCAGAAAAAGCTGCTTCTGAGGACTTAGGCAGGAGTATAGCTTTGTGACCAGTGACACAGGAAGCTTTTCCCTCTTCTTACCCACATTTTATAAGTGGCCCTGAGTCCTCAGGGGAGCTGGGGTAATAGTTGAGTGTTTAAGTCATAGTCAGTCTATCAAAAGCAGTCAGATGCAGGTTTGCCACTGGCATGCAAACAAAAAAATATCTATTCCTTGACCTCATTACTCCAGGAGCCTTCATTCCCACCCTGAAACCCTCCCAGGACTTCTCTGATAAAGCAAGTCTCACAAGATAGAAAGGAACAAACTGCAAGCACCACCTTGTCCTTACTTTCTAGGGGGTTGAGACCCACTTGAGACCCACACACACACTGCTGCACACGTGTGTTCATGCCCTCTTTATCCTCTCCCTCAGCTGCCCCAAATATTTGTGTGAAGGACAACAGCTCCAAGAGGAAGTCCTAGGAAAGCCTTGGTGGTCACCAGGCTGGTAGCAAAGAGCACTGAAGGACATAGAAATTTATAGCTCTGCCGGCAGTCAGGCAGAGCAGAGCTGGAGAAACAGCTTGATTCTGCTCTGGAAATGTCTCCCTTTTTTTTTTTTTTAAACACAAAATATTTATTGGGTAAAAACACAGCCCACTTCCACCTGCCACCTTTCAAAATAGTGAGCCCTGCTCAGTTTTTTGAATGAGAGAGTGTGGGTGCAGCCTTCAGGAGATGTCCTTGGCTGTGCATTGCTAACACACATTGGTGCCTCCCTAAAACAGCAGTGACTGGGCACCCTCGACTGAGTGCCCCTGTCATGAGCAGTGACCCTATGGCCTGTGACAGTTTTCTGTGTTCTCAAACCCCAAAAAAGCACCCCAGAAATTCCACCCTGAGGCTTGACCACAGAACAGGGAAGCATTAGCCAACTCACTATTTTTAAGGCATTTGCATCCAAAAGATGAGCTTCAAGGTTATGTACTTTAGTGTAAGCAGGGAGAAGATCTTACAGCACTGCTGCAAAGCAGGATTGAACCTCCCACTCCACAGTCTGCAGCCTGTGGCTGAGCAAAGGAGTGCACTGCCCCTGATCCCCACTGCCTTTAACCCTGCACATGGCCAGGGGTGTGCTGGCAGCCCAACCCCCTCCTACATGAGTGCTGCACTGTGGTACCAGGAGTGGGAAGAGCCACCTTGGGTCAATCCTGCAGAAATGTCAAATCCAAAATGGTTTGGTTTTGCCTGAAAAAAATACCAGTCTGGGTTCAAGTTCCTCCTGGCCACAGACTAGAGTCCTGCAGAGCAAAGCTACACCTTGGGCAGCACCTGTAAGGGCTTGTGGATAGATGAGAGGACTGGCAAAGGTGGCTGAGGGATGCAAAGATCTGCTGCTGGTTCACTTCAACCCATTGCTGTGATGAAACGAGCTCCAGCAGTCAAAGGACTTGGTGCCAGTACAACTGCACCTAGATGAAGAATCTGCCCATACAGTTATGTCAATCAGTTTTGGGAAAAGAGGAAAATTTCATTCTTCTGCCAGCAAAATTTTAAATGATAGATCAGGCCAAAACTTCTCTCATATTTACAGGGAAGTCCAGCGAAAATATCCTTTTTTTGACAGACTTACTTAAAGCATGTGGCATGGAGACTGAAAATGCTATCAACTATTTGACTGACAAGTGTCAGCAGCTGTT